TTTAAAGCAACTGAGCCAAACATTGAAATAAACTAAAAATTATCTGAGAAAAGAAAGAGAATATACTCACCCAAAACAATTCATTGCTTTAGTTGTGCCCCACTGTTAGGATACCAGCACTGAGCGCATATTAGAACACCTAAATTAGTAATGAGGTAGATTTCTGATGCGATGGGACCCTACGTTAACCTCTATAAACCGTCACCGCCTGGACAGACAGCAGGGAGCATCCTGAGCTCAGAGCGGAAAAATGTGAAGAAAATCCACCAAGGCAAAATACAACCTCTCCCTGGAAGATGGAGAGAGGTAAGAAAGTTAGGAGATGGGTGGGGGATGGTGTTGATATGACTCGTGATTGCTCAGGTGTTGGGAAGGCTTTTATCAGGATATTTTTAGACCTAAAAGCAGCAGATAGTGGACTGTAGTAGTAGTAGTAGTAGAGAACAAAGCCCAGCATGGTGGGAGGGGGAGGGAGGGAGGGAGAGAGAGAGAGAGAGAGAGAGAGAGAGAGAGAGAGAGAGAGAGAGAGAGAGAGAGAGAGAGAGAGAGAGAGAGAGAGAGAGAGAGAGAGAGAGAAAGGTTTCATTGGCTCTTCATATAACAGAACAACAATCTGTGGGTAAATCGTCGAGGGATCCAGAGCGAGGCACCAGTCCGGCTCATTTTGGCAGACAGAAAGCCAAATAGCTGCATACAGAGATAGTTTAGTGATTTGGCTTTATTTTGTCTCATGGGGATGCTTTGCCACACACCTACAAATAAAACTTGCTTGGAGGCAGCATCGGGTGTTGGTTAATTATTTAAAGGGGTTGCATGGCCATGAGTAGTGATGCAAGTTTCCATGACGCCTGGACCACATCAATACGTTTGTGGATGATGATCACATACGTCTTCCAGCTGTGAGAGGTCTTCGCATTGCCAGTTCCTCGTTTTGCTGCTAACTGTGAAATATCCTCAAACAGAACTCAGTCCAGTATAACATTGTTTGTTGGGGGAAACAAAACTCTAAATGCAGTGTTGCCAAAAAAATACCAACGCTCACACTGCAACAGAAAAGGCAGATAAAAGCTATTTCCTGCCTGTTTGGGGATTATTTCATAAACAGGACAGGTTTGAATGAAACTCTCAGAAAGTCAACATTACACATATGTCTACAACTGATTAATGTTTGAAATCAGTCCAGTTCAAGATGGCCGTCACAGCTAATCAAGATCATCAAACACAAAAGTGACCATTCCTCTAAATGCTCCGAGTACACCTGGCTGCTTTAGTAACCACTATAACCACACATTGTTGGAGAAGCAAGCATGCTGGTGGCAGTCAACAGATAATGACAATCCACTACAAACATATTCTTACAGTGGATACATTATTTCTCATATTTTAGTTTCATTTTCATGAAAGTCAGCCTAGAAGATCTCTAAACTAAACACGCACTGTTCAAGTTTATACGTTGTTCAAGTCATAAATACAGTGGGTACGGAAAGTATTCAGACCCCAGTTCATTTTTCACTCTCTGTTAAACTGCAGCCGTTTGCTGAAATAAGTTGTTTTTTTCCTCATTAATGTACACACAGCACCCCATATTGACAGAAAAACACAAAATTTTAGAAATGTATTAAAAATAAAAACTGTAATATCACATAGTCCTAAGTATTCAGCCCCCTGTGAAGCCACTCCTTTGTTATTTTAGCCGTGTGCTTTAGGGTCATTGTCATGTTGGAAGGTAAACCTTCAGCCCAGTCTGAGGTCCTGAGCACTCTGGAGAAAGTTCTTGTCCAGGATATCCCTGTACTTGGTCGCATTCGTCGTTCCCTCAATTGCAACCATCAACATATATACTGGACACTTCGTGTCCATAGGATCCAATTCTGTTTTTGTGCCAAAATGGGAGGTTCCCACCACCGCCATTTTGTGGTTGAATCACATGTGCAGCAGCTCATCAGGCTCTGCAGAAGCCTTTTAATTACCTGCTGATTGACGTCAGGGGTGTTGAAACAGAGTTAAAACTAAAACATGCTGGATACTGGCCCTCCAGGCCCGGAATTGAATACTTCTCTACCTAGGACCATGTGATATTTCTTTTTTTGGACACTTAATTGAAAAAATCCTGCATAAAAGCACTGAAATGTGAACACTAAGAGCTGATTTATGTAAAAATAAACATGGAATAGGAGGACAAATGGAGATGAGAGGTTAATTTTCATTAGTGGACGGGTTAGGGTTGTCCACTGTAGTGGACAAAGATATATTTGTTTTCTATCATTTACTGAATTCTTTGAAGATGATTTTTTATGTATGTGTTTTTTTACTTCTTCCTTCTTCTATCTCATGTTTTCTTATGCTAAACACAACATTTGTGCAACGATGATAAAAGCTTTCTGATTCTGATGTCGGTGCCGTAGATGCTGAGAAACATTCCTAGCACATTACTTTAAAGGTCCATGAAGTAAGAATGACATCCTGTGGTCAAACATGGGTACTGCAGTCCATGCATCAAAACAAACAAGTCCACTCTGAGCAGCTGTTTCCAGATCAGCGCCACAAGATTCCAGACAACACATGAAGACAAGACACACACACAGTAAGTTGATAAGTAGATAAACACATTTTATCGTATTATTGGGCTGTTGGTAATTGATATAAGCAACTTGAGATATTCAATTTTTTAGTTATTTTCTTACACAGCTTCGTAAAAATTGTTTATTTACCTTATATGTTTCAGCTAGTAGCTGTAGCCATCCTACGAGATCACCAGTGATGTTGACGTCACTTCCTTTTATCCGCGGGCAGCAGAGGACGGCGTCGCCCTCAACTGCTCGCGTCCTCCTTGCTGATGACACTGTCCCACGCGTGATCCAATGTATGAGTTCCATCATCTCTGTTCATGATCCTGTACGCACGCCTCCTTATCTCTATTGCTTCTTCGATCCATCTTTTATATTTTTGTTCTGTATTTCTGGTCCATGTACCGTCCCAGTCCATTATGTGGTTTTCTCTTGTGCAGCAGTCTGTTACGGCTGATTTCTTTATTGTACTTTCTGCTTCTTGTTTTGCTGCTCTTGTGTGTCTTCGACTTGTTTCCCTCTTGCACTCCCTTTGATGTTATTTTTTTCGTGTGTTGAGTTGGCATCCGGTTTCTCCTACGAATGTTTTATTGCAGAGTTTGCATGGGATTTCGTGAATGACTCCACATTTTTCATCAACAAGGAGGAAGCGGGCAGTAGAGGGCGACACTGTCCTCTGCTGCCCGCGGATAAAAGGAAGTGACACCGCCATCACCTGCGATCTCTGAGGATCGCTAGAGCTACAAGCTGAAACATGTATAGTAAACAAAAATGTTTTACTAAACTGTGTAAGAAAAAAAAAACAAAAAAATGGATTATGGACAGAAACACATTATGAACACACAAAAGAATAACGAGATGTTTTTAAGGTGGTTATTTGTTTCTAATTCACCGCTAGCAGGCTCAACGTTAGCCTCTAGCCTTCTTTACCTGACTTTAGAGTAAAACAAGGAGATGCCGTTCTTCTTAGGCGTATGAGAAATAATTTCATTTTATTTCCCACAACTCTGGAGCTTTTTGCCAGCCTGTGTCAACTTACAAATGCCGGTGCAGCTTTGGTAACCATGCGTGCTCACAGACTGTAAACAAAGACTATTCGGACATTTAATGACAGTTGAACGATCATAACTGTAAAAGATATCACTGGAATAAAAATAATAATAATAACCTTATATGTTATCTGTTGTCCTTGCCTAGATTCAAACCTGGATCCTCCGAGTGAAAGTCATCAGCTCTACCAGCTGAGCTATGACAGTACTTACTAAAGATTAAATCAGATTTGTTCTTCGGCTACCCCCATTGTGCTCCGAGAGGAAGCCGATGGGCCAGTGAGGTAGAGGGTAAGGAGCGGAAAAAAACTTACCAATCAGAGGACAGAAAGGATCAGCCACAGGCCACGCCTCCAGATTGCCAAAACTCCCAACAGCCGAGCGAGCAGAATCAGAAACCAAGCGCGCAGAAAGGCTGCCACATGCACAGTGAGGCTGCCACGCGCATGCTTTCCTCTGCCATGTGCTCGTTGGCCAACGCGTGCGCGCAGGTTTGTCACTTGTGCACATCCTTGTGTGCTCACAGACACAGTTTGCTCCCTCTCAGTGTACAAATGACTTCTCGCCATGTATATTTTCACTCGAGAGGTTCCAACTTCCACGTGCGAGTCTCGTTCGCACGCACGATGTGGGCCCGTCACGGGTTTTGGCACCCATCTGACACCATATATGTCCTCCTTTGGTCATTTTGAAAGGAGAAAAATGGACAACCCCCCCAGCCAGCAGCAAAGGAAACCTATTTAATGTAACCTTCCTTCCAAAATGATTCAGACATTAACCTGTTTGTGATTATTTCACTACACTTACATATTGGACCTTTAAGCTCTCAAACTATTACAACCAACCCTGTTATCTCATGAACCACTGGATGGGTTTAGATCTAAGGATGTTCATCTACAAATTATTTACTTTTGGAGTCAATCAGAATCAAGGCTAACTGACCTCAGAAAATGCAAAAAGGGCTACAGCAAAGATATGGAGTTAAAGATAGGAGTTTGGATGGATTAAACGTTTCACACGATTGTGCTACATTGCATGAGATACAGCATCCCGTTAACTTCAAGATCTGATAATAAGACCATCGTATCTCAACACTCTTTCAAGGCTGGATTCATTTTGATTCCTATTTCTTTGATCCCAGGCCAGGATGTTTGAAGCCGACTGTGACTGGCTTCACTCTAACACCCAGCTGTGTCTCACATCAGCAGCGTGGTAGGCCGTCTGACAGGAAACATGTTGAAATCCAGAGCAAGAGGAACAATGAGAAGAAGACTCCAGAAGCTAGTGCTAATAAATGTGTCTCCACTTATTTAATCATCTCTTTACTCCGTGCCCACACTTGTACTCCCCACTGTGTCGGGCTGTAAAAACCTCTGACTCATACCTGATGCTGGAGATGAGCTGTCGATGCTCATCAGTGGTGAGTATGTCCGGCAGCACCGAGGCCAGCCACTCTACTCTCTTCTCTGCTGCGAACTGCTTCAGCACAGAAAAGAGTTTATCTTTGACTTCTGGCTCGTCTCCTAAAATCTGGTCCACCTGTCGGGGACAAAGACGATGGACGTCTTAGGAGAGGTTTAAAAACAAAATAACCAATAAAAATGTCACAGAGTGGATGCTGTGACCTCATTGTGTCAGACTCAACATGTTATTTAATGTTGATTAACACCACAGCTGTAGATTTGGAGATATTTAGTCTGTGTTACACTGCTGTGAACAAACATTTACCTCTTCAACAAGTTATTCAGTGTTTTTGACACTTAATTGTTTCTGATCTGTGAGAAAATGAATCAATATCAACACTAAGAAGGAGACGGGGGACAAAAATAGCTTCAGACCTGTCTAACATTTGCCAAACAAGATCTTGATGATTCTCCCAAGACTTTTGAGAAAATATTCTGCAGACTCTGACTCAGTTTGTCACTGTTGTTGTGTCCTTGGGGGAAGACACTTCACCCTTTGCCTGTTGGTGGTGGCTGGAGGGACCGGTGCCACCATGCCTCTGTCAGTGCGCCCACGGGGAGCTATGGCTACAGTGTAGCTCATCAGCCCCAGCATGTTTATGTATTTAGCTTATACTTTTGTCCAAAGCGACTTGCAAGTGATAATCAAGCCAGCAGGTAGCCCTTGAGGCTAACAGCAAATGCTATTCAGTCAATCCTAGGTGACGGTGAGGCAGCACAACCAATCATAGAGGGAAGAAAACAAGGAGTGGACAGTAGAGTGGGAGATGGGTGCTGGGAGGGTGCTAGTTTAGAAGATGCTCTCTGAAAAGCTGGGTCTTCAGGGGTTTGTTGAAAATTGACAAGGAAGCCCCTGTTCTATTAGTGCTTGGTAGGTTATTCCACATCTGTGGAACGACACATGAAAAGAGTCTGGATTGTCCGATTCTTTGATGACCGGATTCAGGTAGATGGGAGCCGTACCATCCAGGACTTTGTATGCTAGTGTTAGTAAATATTTGAATTTGATGCATGCAGCTAGCATTAGCCAATGGAGCTCAGTGAACAGAGGGGTGACATGTGCACTTTTAGGCTGATTGAAGACCAGACGCGCCGCTGCATTCCAGACCATTTGAAGAGGTCTCACAAAACAGGCTGGAAGACCAGCATGTGAATGAGTGTGTACGTGAGTGAATGACTGGTTGTGTTGTAAAGTGCCTTGGGGGGCTGCCTAGTGAAACCAAAGTAGAAGTTTCTAGAAGGTGTTGTCCTGTTCCATCTGGAGTAAATCTAGCACAAAAACATGATGGCAACAGCCCAACATGGAGGTGGTAGTGTGAAGGTCTGGGCGTGCCCTGCTGCTTCAGAATCTGGACAGCTTGCTGTAATTTACCCTCAGGTGTGCTGAAGCAGAGAACCCTCTGAACACACACACACACACACACACACACACACACACACACACACACACACACACACACACACACACACACACACACACACACACACACACACACACACACACACACACACACACACACACACACACACACACACACACACACACACACACACACACACACACACACACACACACACACACACACACACACACACACACACACACACAGGCTCCTTCATAAGCTCCATTTAACAAACACGTTTGGGTCCAGATGCAGTGGAACAGGTCGACACACATGACCTTAATCAACAGGTGATTAGAAGACTTCTGCAGAGCTTCATGAGCTGCTAAACAGATGATTCAAACATTAAACTCAGTGTTGGATTGGAGACTCCTGGTCTGGCTGTTTGTTTTTACCTGAAGTATCCACCAACATCTCAGAACTGAAGCTGTTCTGTACAAAGAAAAGACTAAAAGATGATATTCAGGACCTGACTGTAGCTGTCATTTGACAGACCATATCAGAGGTGTCCAAACTTTTCCAGGGGAGGGCCAAAATCCTCAAGGTAATTGTCCTCACCAGCCCCCCCCCCCCCAATCTTGTTTTATTTGAGAAACGCAAAAAAAAAAATACTGCTTTATGGTGATTAATTTTCATTTGTGCCCTGCAGCATAGGTCCAAAGTGTTCATGTTGGTAAAATAAATGGAACATAAACTGTTATTAAGTGTCACTCATATACAGCCAATCATTTTACGGATGCTGCTGGGGGCCACACACAAAATCACATCTAGGGCCACAAATAGCCCTTGGGCTGCACTTTGGACATGTCTGGACTAGATAAGCATGTGTGTAATTTTCCTAAATAAAATAAAAAACACCTAGAATCTTATTTATGTGTCATCTGTTTCCTTTGACCCCATTGATGGACTCAGACTAGACTAAGATCTGGTGTTTTAACCCTAAACCTATTTTTGTGAAAGGACACAGCACAAAGTTAAAGTTCAGGCACAAAACACCAAGGATTACTTTTTAAATGGTTGTTAATGGAACATTTGTTTCATAATCCTGTTAAACTGATAACAGTAGTTGTAAAATTGATTTAAAAAGGTATAAGGTCAGATTATTGAATGGAATACGTGTTGTTCAAACTCATTTGAATGAGTCGCCCTCTTTCCTTCAGGCAAAAGTCTGAGGAGCTTCAAGCCTAAATAGTAAGGCTGAAGAACATCTTCAGATGTCTTTGAATGACTACAGCTCATTTATTTATTCATTTAGGCTGCCCTGAGGAACACGTCTTGTCCCCCTGTGTCTCTAAAATGTTGAGGGACAGATGATGGAGAACAGACTCAGCAGGACTCAAGTGTCTATAAAAGTACCTTCTGGTTGAACTCCAGAGCTTTGTGCTTGCGATCCAGCCTTGCCCCCTCCCCTCCCATCTGACTATCCACCATGCTGACGCTTCGTTTCTGCCTTTGACCGAGGCACAGCACCCCCAGACGGAGCGGCCTCCCCTGGGAGGCTTTGATGAGGGACGCAGCCATCTCATGGTGCCTGACGGGGATGCCGTTCACCTCCATGACGTAATCCCCGGCCCTGAGACCTGTGCGTCCGGCTGGGGAACATGGCGAGCAGTCTTCCACCAGGAGAGGGCAGTCTCCCACAATGGTAAAGCCAAAACGACCATCTGGACCGGGGATGATGTCCATCTGTACAAGGCAGGTGACAAAATGAGTCAATTCAAGAATTATCCTCAGATAGAGACGAAAGCAGATTCAGCTTTTTAAACAACTGAACAAGAATGCACCCTTTTGGAAAAATTACAAAATAAAATCTACTACTGTGAAAATTAAAGGATTAAGCCAATTATCACTGCATCTGTAACAGATGAGGGAGCTTTGAGACCTGCTGAATCCGAGACACCACTCCGATGCTGGGGGGGATGTTCTTCTGAGTCTGGGCGATGGCGATCACGGCTTGTGGAGCCAGTGTGGACACATTGTGGCCCTCGATCTCTAGGACCTGATCCCCCGCCTGCAACCCTGCCAGGTGAGCAGTGCTGCCTTCCTCCACTGACAAGATGTAGCTGGGTCCATTCCCACCCAGCTGGAAGCCAAAATCCTCTGGCCAGCCCTGATTGGATGTTGGCATGCTGAGGACTGGATGACAGAAGAGAAAAATGGTGAACATGCAGTTTTATCCATGAACTTTAAAATGGGATGACAACCTACTGCTGAACAGTCTTATTAACCTCCTGAGACCTGAGCCTTTGTCTGGAATCGGTAGAACCTCATAGAATAAAGACCAAACAAGATTTCTGAACATAAAGTAGCTCAAAAGTAAATAAATAAATAAATAAATAAATAAATAAACGGACAATGGCCAGGTTTCTGTGATTGATAAAGAGATCAGTTATGACAGAACTATAAAGACGCAGGACCTCATGAGGCTACGACCACCACTCACCCAGTGCAGTCCATGTATTCAGATCTAGCTCCATTATTTCAAATCTATCTGTTGCTGCAGTTGTTGCCCGTCTCCTTCCTGCTGTGATCTCCCTCGTTTCTGGTAGTACTATCTGAGTGCTGCTCCGTAACCCTCCACCCTGAACCGTGGCACGCTCAGCGGTCCATGACCTGGTTCATAAACTCCATCACAGCCAATCAAATAACTGCATTGTGACCTTAATTAGCTTGAAAGACAAAAGTTCCTGCAGAAATGAGCACACACATCCCAGTCTTTAACTGCTGAATGGTAATTATGCAATAATGGAACAGAGAGGCTGCACGGATGAGTCTGAAGAGTTAAAATAAGAGGTTAATGACAATCGGAGGTTAATAAGAGGTAAAAGTATCAATAAACAAAACAAAATCTGGATTCTAGCTGCTCATTTAGGAACATTTAAGACCTACAAATGATTATTAGGATGGAAGACACAGATTTATAAAAGCTGTTTCTGTTTGCCTCGTCTGTTGCAGACCCTCGGGCTCAGCTGGAAGCTGGTGAGGCGCCCCGAATCTAAACAACAGCAGGATTCACAAAGACTTACAGAAATCTTTAGATGGACACCGGGGCCCCCGCTTGTTCTGCCGGAAAGAGTATCTGCCTTTTTTGTTTTGCAGAAACTTCTTCATGGTGAAGGCGAGCAGGCTATCAGCCCCTTTGTCCACTCAGCTGCTGTGTTCAAATACAAAAACCCCACAACCTCGAAAAGTCAAACGGACAACGTGACCGTCTGCAAACATCGCCCCATTTCTCCACCCCGGAACCACAGCAGCCTCCTTCTGAAAAAAGGGTGAGTGTGCATTGAAAAGCCAGACCTGTTTTTCTGAGTGTGTCAAAGAGTTAGTCCTGCGTCTTCATCCCTGATTCATCCTGAGGCGAGCCAGCTTGCACACTGTTAATCAGAAAACTGGGACGTGTGCACCCGTGCACCTCGGTGCCTTAATAATTCTGTCTCCAAAAACAGTATTGTGAGGCCTCATTTTTCTATAAATACACTGCGGCGTCTTTTTCCTCCTCCTCCTCCCTTGGTTAGGTGGCTCTCGGAGGGACCGCGCTTCTGGCCCAGAATCACTGCGTCCGCGTGAGAAAGCCTGATGAGGACTAATTGGAGCATGTGCCTGGAATTCTGCCTGTCCCTGAGTGTGTGTAAGACACACAAGTGTTGGGTCCACGGAGACATTGGGGCAGTTTAAGACTTTAGCTTTGAGGATTAGTGAGATTATCAGATGGATCTTCAGTTCTCCTCCACCCCCGACATTAATACAGCAGCAACACATGGGTGATTACCGTCCTGCTACAGGACAGGAGGTGAGATCTCAGCAGAAAACTCAAATGAAACAAAAACAGAGACTTGATTTAGTCATTTATTCATTGATGTCTTAATTTTGTGTCTCTCAGCCTAACTTGCCTGAGTCGGCTTGATTTCATCAGTATTTATGAATACATTTTTACATATTGAGTTGTACTGTCTGAGATTTGTATTTCCTAGAACATTTATTTGCCATTTTGCTTTAAATATTCTTGACATACCGATGGCAACCAGTGAATTAAAGGTTCCATATCACACTTTTTTGAACCTTTGAGACCAAAGGTGACAGATCCTCTGCTGCTGTGGCCCCCAGACTCTGGACCTCTCTCCCCTGAGCCTGAGATCAGTGGTCTCCTTTAAAAAGCAGCTGAAAACTCACCTGTTCAAACTGGCTTTGGTGTGACCTTCATCACCACCCTCTCCTTATTCTGCTCTCCCCACCTATTCTGCCTTCCCCAGGAACCACTCATTTCCTACTTTCCTATTAACTCCCTCTCTCTTTCTTTGAATTTTTAATCACAGTTGTCTATTTTTGCTTATTTTAATCATTTTCTAAAATATTTTTTATACTTTAAATTTTTTGTTTTTGTGAAGCGCCTCGTGATCATTTTCTTTCTTGTCTAGGCCCGATATATGATAAAATCGTGCCGTTGGAACTACTGAGATGTCTTTTATCTTAAATACGAGCTATCTTCGTCAACGTGAACTTATACCCAGAAATAAAACGGTTCAGTTCAGTGAAGCTCCGCTCTGACAAAACAGCGTCTTAGGCAAACCTGCTGTCCACCGCCTGCCTTTCTTCTTATTTTGCCATGAGCCGACACTGTTTGACTAACAGTGTTCGTAGTAATCTATTCAGCCAGCTGACGCCAATTTCATTTTAAAAATATTTTTGTTTTATTGATTATTTTCTACAAAATATTTTGTGTCTCCAAAGATCTTTGATGTCGATCATTTCCAAGCAGCTGACATTCGGCTCACCTCACATGGACTCACACCGGCTAAATAAACAAAGGAAGTAAAAAATAAAATAAAATAACAGATTAGTCCTTATATTTTAAACAGTTTACCAATAAAGGATTCAAAACATAATACTGGCAAGTGTAGCTAAAGAAGAAGAAAACCGTTTCTGATGCGACCGGGAGGCAAACCTGCACAAAACTACATTCTAACCTCTAGCCTACCAAACCTGTTGCTGCAAATCTTATCTTTTAAGGAATTATTTTACATGCTCTGTTTAGAGAGTCTGGTTCTGCTCTTGTTAGAAAACATTTAAATTTAAAGTCCCATAGTCATCATGACACACTGTTGAAATGACATCTCTGAATTTGACCCATCCCTGTAAGGAGCAGAGAGCTGCAGCAGAGAGCTGCAGCAGTGGCTGCGCGCGGGAACTATTTGGTGGTTTATCACCCCAAACCCAGCCTGCCAGACTCGCCCTGTCTATTCTACACAGAGACGAGTCTGGATACCCTTTCCATTTTTAATTACGAATTTATTGACATGGGAAAATGATATCGGATAGTCAGAAATTTCAATAACAATAAATGATAAATTGCGCAGTGCTAGTTCCTGTTATAGTATTATTAAAAATAATGTGAGGGACCACCAAATTATAAGCAATCATATGCCTCCCCTCTTCACTTTTACAAGATATTATTGACAGTCGATACTATTAGACGATAATTTAAATACAGTAAATAAGGAATTCTAACAACTCTAGAGAAAGTTCTGGTAAAGCTTATTGGAGCATAAACAGTTATTAGTGGCAGAGTAAACACGACAGCCAGTTCAGTCCATAGTGAATAATTAAACATGACTAGACTCAGCTCCAAAAACATTACTATGAGTCTTCTCTTACACTTAAGCCAGACATGCAACAAGATGACAAACAGCCAACAGAAAACTATAAAAGTGGCTCAGAGACACAAACAGAGCACAGAGATCTAACACCTGCCGAAGATTAGAATGCAAAATCATGACCACGCTGGTGCCGTGTAATGGAAAGCAGTGACAATGAAACATCCAGTACCTTTTCAACCAGCATCCAGGGATGTGAACACACACACAACTTCTGAGTGACGCTCCTGTCTGCAGCAGTGAGGGCTGTAACATGAGCACGGGGCCATGTCTGCAACCAGATCCAACGGGTGTCCTTTTGTTGCACTGTGTGGAGCAATGGATGGCAGAGACAGAAACAAAAATATTGTCCTGTGGCGTTAACTTGATGATTAAACTGGTGTAAAAATTTTGAAGGGTACATTTTTTACATTGAATGGTGTGGTTTAACAATATACTTTAATGCAGGCAAGTGTATTTGAATGCATATTTCCAGAGATAATACAACTACAGGTGGTGTCTATAACCGATTACCTTCCGAAGTCAATCTAATTAAAGTTAAATAACGAAAACACAAAAATGGACATAACTCAGTCGGGTACTGGCTCTGAAGTAAAAATTTGTGTCATTCTAATTAAAAGTCATCCCCATTGCATACTCTTGAGTGCTAAATGACGAAGATAAATCTTGCAGGAATTGCATAAATCTTTTTAGTATTTGAACAGAGCAGGATTAACTTCGTAATTTCTCTAAATAAGATGAAAAGCAGCAGGAAACCATTCAAGGAATGCCAGACCTGTGATTTGATTTTAGTTTATGGGACACATTGTCCCTTGCACTGAGAACCTCAGCAACTAGCATTCTTTTCTTCATTAACCACTCTAGGCCTGACTCACCCCTCATAATCTTTTTCTATGTTAACATCTGGCGTATCTCTTTTTAACATACAGCTGTTTGTGATTTTGGAACTAAACAGAGAAAAGGACTACATTCCTTCCACAGACATCAGTTCCCTTTCCCCAAGCAGCATCAGTTCCTCACTTGTTAGCTACGATGCTACTTCCGTAGCTCCGGTGCTACGGAAGTAGCTTTGTTTACAGACACTGAGGAGGACGGGGCATGAACGTAAAACTAAAACCGGTTGTCTGAATGAAACCCAATGGGACTATGATAACTTGAAAGTTGAACAGAAAGGCAGCTAGGTGCGACTTTGACTGAAACGAGCAGGAAGTAAAGCAAACAGGGACAGACGTGTTTAAGGTTAGCATGCTAACGAGAGATTCTCATGTTTTTGTCATTTTTAGAAAACTGTGCCTACTTTTTTGTTTTAAAGACTAAAAAAATAGTTAAACGAAAGCCTCCCTTTCATATTGTAGCACTTTCTTTTTGGTTTTTTTACTTCTCGGTTGTAGATTTGAGCTCCTGTTCGCCTAAAGCTGTCTCAATGTAAATAAACCAGATGGATTTTCTTACTTTGTTTGCCATCTACGTGGCGGTGGTGCTAACATGTATACTTTTAGTGTGTAAATACTCGGGCCAGCAGCAAAACCCCTTTGATACACTGCTCAGCTATGTTTCAAAGGTAAGAATTACTGTCATTACAAAAAGAGACAGAGTAGCGCCGACAGATTCAGAAAACTGCACTTAAATGTGTTTCTTCACAGAAGCTCGCACCTTTTACACCACAGTGGCTCCAAAAAGTTTCACACTGGACCTTACACAGACTGTTTCACCAAAGGTTTGCTGTCTGAACCCTTTTATACACGCGATCCAAACATTGCAGTGAGTGTGGCTCTGATCGTGTGGTATTAAATGTTATTTCAGGAACAACTCTTTCATTTGTCTGCACATCCTGCTGGAGGGAGCCGTTTATGCAGAGTTTACTTACGAAGTGTTCGGCTTCTGCAGGGAGATGGACACCACTGTAACAAGCTTGTCAGTGCCTTACGTCTTGTTAGTCATCAAGACCATATTCTTCTACCTCTGCATCAAAACAGACCCAGGTAACTTTTGATTTACCTTCAATGTAAACACCAATTTTACCTGCTGACTTGTCACAATCAGGCCATATGGGGAAGGTCTCCAAAGCGCTTTACACTTCAGCATATCATTCATCCATTCATTCATTCACAAACACACTCCCACTTGGGTGGTGATTGTCGCCACAGCTGCAGAGGCGGGGCTGCTGGGCACAGGCACCACCGGTCCCTTCAACCTCTACTAGCAGATACTTCTCATGGTGGTAGGAGATGAGCCTACAGAGTGTTTCCTCCTCTTCTAAAAAGGCAGTGTTTACTTTAAGGAAAGTTTGGGGATATTTAGAAACCCCAGATGGCTCTAACTTGGAGGATTGGCTTTGAACTTAATGTTACATCTGCAGGAGCTGTACACTTGCTACATATGAAACCATTCTGTGAGAATTAGCATACCCAGCATGAAGTGAAGCTATGTGGCTAATTTAGTCACCAAGGTCAATAAAATACCCTCACAGAGAACAGACACTCGGAAAAGTGCTAGTTTTCTAGTAAAGGAATATTTCATATTCAGTAATAAGATGGTCCTTCGCTGGCATCATGTTTAGTCTGATTATTGTTTACAAACATTCAAAATAAAAGTTTGGGTTTTAAATGAACTTTTTTTCTAGTTTTTTGCCGAACTGCAAGGAGAAAACATCTAAACTGAAGCATCGGTGTCACTTTCTTTTTGTGCATCAATATTAAAATGACTAAAATACCAAATTCAGCATTTGTTCATTTATGTAACCCTAAGTTGTCATGGAAACTTTCCCATCACATCAGTTTGGTCAGGTAATGCAGTGGTTGATGAACCTTGTAGCTTTTGACCCACAGATTTTACTTATTACATTTAACCTAATATTTCAAATCATCTCTTTGTTGTTTAAAGGTGACTCACGCAGTGTTGAGTGGAAAGTGTATTTTTTGTTAGGCATTTCCAGATCAGTGCCTTATCAAACCCTGTCATACTGCAGTACTGTGGCATATTTGCTTTTTAGAAGGTTATCTCATATCTGCCTGTTGTGAAATGAATTGTATATAATCTCTGCAGTTGGGTAAAAACTTTGCACAATAATCTCAGGGTGTGCTAGACAGCAGTTATGTAATACAACTAGAATTATTATACTTTAAATTAGCCAAAATAGCAATGCATTTGATCAGAAATGTTCGTAGAAGTCCCTTCTTTCGTCCAGTTTGGTTTGGTTCTGTGCATTACTCCGTTTGCCATCTACCAGGCACAGTGACAAAGAAGAAACTCTCCAACCAGCTGCACATCTACTCCTACGATAGGAGACTGTTTCACCCTGGAGTCTCCTGTCCAACCTGCCAACTTGTCAAACCAGCCCGTTCCAAACACTGCAGTAAGTATTTACCCTTTTATTTTGTCACCCACATCATCAAGTGATCCTTTCTACTACTCATTCATGTCCAAAAACAAATGTTTCTCTCTGCTGATTGGCAAACCGTTCCTCAGGGGTGTGCAACAGGTGTGTCCAGCGCTTTGACCATCACTGTGTTTGGGTGAACAACTGCATCGGCGCTCGGAACACACGGTACTTCCTGCTTTACCTCTTGAGTGTGTGTGCCATGGCGGGCGACATCGCCCTGCTGACAGGAGACATGTTGCTTCATGCCGTGCTGCGTTCAGGGCTCCTAAGAGCCAGTTACATTGATGAGCACGGCCAGCAGCAGCCTGCTGGACCTCTGTTTGTTGTACAGGTACGGCTGACATCATTAAAGCTTACACGCTGTACGTAATTAAATCCAAAATGTAAAACATCCCTTTTTCTTTGCCCCTCTAGCATTTATTTATGACATTCCCCCGTATCGTCTTCATGCTGGGATTCTTGATCTTCATCTTCTTCCTCCTCGCTGGTTACGCCCTGTTTCATTCCTACCTGGCCCTCATCAACCAAACCTCCAACGAGTGGTACAAAAGTCGAGGTTACTTTTTTCAGCACTGCCATCCAACAGCAGCAGCCGATCATCTTTCTAGCCCCATCCCAGATCACTCCAAGAGACACTACTACAGCCGGGGGGCTCTCCGAAACCTGGGAGAGATCTTCTTTCCTCTACGAGGCATTCAGAAAAAAAGCAACTGAAAAGAAAGAATGTTCATTTTAACTGGCAACAGCGGCTACTTTTGCTACTTCTGCTTATAAAATAAAGTTTTGAAATTACTTTATGGATTTTTGTATGAATTTACCTTGTACAGGGACTTGTAATTAAATAATAATGCAGTGGCAGATCTATACCTGTAGGTGTCACTAAAGGCAGCAGTATGTAGATGTTGGTACTTCACTGAAAGGTTCAGAGGATGATCCCATTACGTGACATACAAAAGAAGGGCCTTAGCCTATTTTCATCGGGGGGGGGGGGGGGGTATGGGAGTTTACATATACATGAACACAATAAAAAAAAACACTTATTATTTAGCCTGGGATTCAAATGTATGCTAGATCCTTACATTAAACTTAAGATTTGAATAACCTTACTACAAAGTGACAGTGGTTTGACAACTGATAAAATCTCCACTCTTGCTAATTGTGTCTGGAAACTTGCAGTTTTATTTACAGATGAAGTCAGTAGCATTGGTGGGAATAAATAGGATTATTTTGCCATAGTTTTTGTTATGTTTAAGAGCGTGGGTTAACTACTCCGTTAAAAATGCTTCATTGGTGTGTAAGATGAAAGGCGTCCCAATAAAAAGAGTTTGGGTTGAAAATGATCAGAAACACTTATTGTTCCAAACGTTTCTTTTTACACGTGAAGGCGATATATCTCCCTTCTAGTATACCAAACCATGAAGGTAGAGTCTTCACTGGACTCAAATCAAGAACTTTGATTGTTACTTCACATTTTTTCCAAATTACTTATTTCCCGATTTTGCTCATTACCGGAAGTGGGCGCGGTTTGCGTTTGAAGGTGCTGCTGGCCCTTTAAGCCGGTGCGGAAGTGACCGGTGGATTGCAGCAACAGCAGGCAGAAGGTCAGGTTGGTTCTCTGATCAATTTCAGCATAAGTTTCCCCACAACTGTCGTCTGAACCACTTGTGAACTTCTCCCTGGTCTCGACAGGGGTCTTTATACTCCGTGATCTCCGATAGGTGGAGGAGACACCCTCACCCTGAACACCGGTGCTGTAGGCTATTTTGGCTCTTGTTTTAAAACAAGCTCCGCTGAACCTCGCCCTGATGTCGGGGACTAAGTGCACACGGCTGAACGGGGCGCTGGTGAAACAGGTGCTGGATTCGGTGGACAGCGTCCTGTTTGACTGTGACGGGGTGATCTGGAGAGGGGACCAGTCCATCCCCGGGGCTCCCCAGGTCATAAACCTGCTCAAAGAGCACGGGAAGAAGGTCTTCTTCGTCACCAACAACAGCAGCAAGACGAGGAAGATGTACGCGGATAAAATGACCTCGCTGGGCTTCGGTGTGAGAGAAGAAGAGGTGTTCGGAACCGCGTACTGCTGCGCCATGTACCTGAAGACGGTGTGCAAGCTGGAGGGGAAAGTGTACCTGTTGGGAAGCAACGCCATGGAGCAGGAGCTGGAGGCCGTGGGGATCCAGCAGACCGGCGTGGGACCGGACCACGTCTTCGGAAAGCAGAACGACTGGGCCAGCGTGCCGCTGGACCCCGAGGTGAAGGCGGTGGTGGTCGGGTTCGACGAGCACTTCAGTTACATGAAGCTGAACCGAGCCATGCAGTACCTGATCCAGAGGGACTGTCTGTTTGTGGGAACCAACAGGGACACCAGGCTGCCTCTGGAGGGGGGCAAGGCCGTGCCAGGTAGACGCTTCATAAACTCAACTCAATAATTATGTTTAATCATGGTAATCATCAGCATGGATCTCTGTAGAAGCCTAATGAGCAGCCTCTGTTGGGAGAAATAGTGACAGGATTGATAAGCTAACAGCTAGATCCTTTAATTGTTGCCGAATTATAATGGCTCTCTTGTAGGGCTGGGCAATAAATCGAAAATTTATCGTTATCGACATTTCTGACTCTTATTGTGATAATCTTTGCCATGTCAATAAATCTGATAATAAAAAATGAAAAGATGTGTGTAGGTTGGCAACATTCATGTCCCTTTAAGAAGCTGTACCATCTGTAGTCACGTAAAAATGGCCGTGTTCGAGATGAGCCAGGTCTGCGCAGATTCGATCACCGGTGATCGGCGCGCAGTGCTTGCCGGTTAGATTTGTGTCCGACTTGATGCTGACTTGCTCTGACGTCATGCCTACGTAGGAAACGATAACCTCGTGAGATCAAGGCGGCTGCAGATTTTGGAGCAAGGAGCTGCAGTTGCTCTCCACCGGCTGCCAAACCTAGGGCATGACGGGAAACGCCTGGCTCTCACCTGATCTAAGATCTGATTGGTTCATATTTTGATCCGAACATCCTGTGGTGAAATGCAAAATGTTAGTTGGTCACGAGTATTCTGTAAATCATGTTACGTTGATGATGACAACTATATAGGCCATAAAGAGAAATGTGTTTTGTGTTCTTTGTCACGTTTCCTATGAGCACACTAAAGCTACAGCTGATAACCTTTATTATTACAGTCAGGTCTTCATATGCATTATATTATCCACAAGCACGTGAGGATGTCTTTCGGTTGCTAGCAGGCACCATAATTAAAATAAAAAATTAAACAAGTATGAACGCTAACGTGATATCTTCATTCATCGTCACCCGTGAGCTACACATGTAGGGAAATCTGTCCGACTTTAACGCCGACTTTCAGCCACTCCCCCTGCTGCATCGTCTGCTCTCTGCTCAACTGGAACAAGGCCATTGTGTCTCAACGCGATACACGTGACAGCCCCATCTAGTGGACAACTTTTGTTTCTGCGCATACCTGTAGTTATTGTCCACTTATCGTTATCAGGTTTACATTTCTGTATCGAACTCTTTTGTGTTTGAAGCCCTACTCTCTTGACAGTTAATGATTCACACTCATTATCTGAACTCTTAATCCTCACTTGGGGTATGGAGCGCTGTCATCAGGCAGAGGCGGGGGACACTCCAGATATGTCTCCAATCCATCAGACACACAAGCAGTTAGGGCTGGGCGATACGGCCTGAAATCAATATCACCATATATTGAGGATTTCACCTGGATAACGATAAATGGATGATAACTACAGGTGTGCACAGAAACAAGTTATCCACTAGATGGGGCTGTCACGTGTATTACGTTGAGTCACATTTTTACATGACTCAAGGCGACACAGCTTCCTAAAGGGACATGAATGTTGCAAACCTACACACATCTTTTCATTTTTATATTATCAAATGTATTGTTGTGGGAACATTTATTTGATGAGTCAGAAATTTTGATAACGATAAATTTCAGATTTTTTTGCCCAGCCCTACACCAGTCACACACACGCTCACACTGATGAATAATTAAGTCTCCAATCAACCTAACATGCACGTTTTTGGACTGCGTGAATAAAATGTACCCAAAGAAAACCCACGCATGCATGAGGGGAACATGCTAACTCCATAAAGAAACCAGTGACCCTCTCGCTGCAAGGCAACTGTACCACCAGCAGTGCAGCCCTTTAACATTAATGAGATACTATTTAATACTTCCACTGATTTCCTGCTTTTCCATTCATTTTCTCTTTCCCTTTTCTTACATTTTTAATCAACTTGTTTTCCTTATTTTAACCATGTCTTTTAATCATTTAAAAATATATAATTTTTATATTTAAAATGTTTAGTTTTTGTGAAGGACCTTGTGATTTTTATCTTGAGAGGCGCTATATGAAAGATAATTTCTTTCTAATAAGCCATTTTTCTGCTGTTAGTTTTATATTGGTTATTTATATGAATTATGTGGTTATAACAATAAATGTTGCTCATTCAGAACATCCAGGACTCAAGTTCAACTGTAAAATCTAAATAATTCTACTGAAACAACCAAGCACTGCTAATGGTGATATTAAGGGTTACAAAATAAAGTAGCATGAACTGTGGACTTCAGATGATTGGAGCTGTATTAAAGGTCAACTTTACTCATTAATACATTTGCTGTAGTCTTCAGTGGCAATTAGTGCTTTGTAAATCTTACGCCGAGGGGAAAAAAGCTCTGGTACTCCTGTTTCAGGAAGCAGAAGTGAGCCAGATCAGATATGAGCTGCAGACAGCAGAATTTGGAGTCTTATTTCCTGATATATGGAATTCTCACCTCTGATTGGCTAACAACAACATGACTCTACCACAGACTCTGTTCTGCCACGTTGCTGTTTATCTCCACAAATAACACAAGTCTGGAGGAGTTCTGCGGTGTGGTGGAGTTGCTAAGGGTTAGCTTTTGTGCCTCAGGGCAGCTGTGGCTACAATGTAGCTCATTGCCACCAGCGTGTGTGGGTTAATGACTGGTTGTGTTGTAGAGCTGTCAAGAGTCAATGCAGGATATAGGTGTAGGAGACTATTTCATGTTAAGCGAGTGACCTATTATAATCAGAAATAATTAAAAATGTTTTTTTAAGTGAAGTTGATCTTTAAGACAACAATTGACATCAGACATGGGTTCATTCATACCTTTTTTCCACTTGTTTACATGGTAATAGACCCAGCTCCTAAGTGGATTACTGCTGTCTTAAAGTAACACTTAATGCGTTTTCCCTCCTCCGTCCTACTGGTTGAAAGCGGAATTACAACTGTTGTAAACAACCCTGCTACGGCCAGCTGTTGCTAGTGCTAATGACAAGCTAATACAAATCTGAGCCAACTGGTACTAAATAAGCCAAGAAGTATAAAGTTCCACATTTCTGGACTAGTAAATATTACTTACAAGTCAAGTAGCAACAAAGCCAGGTCACCATCAGTTCTTGACTTGTAGTCTCAACTCCCTCAAACGAGTGTAGGCCGTGCCGATGTTCACTCTGGTTGTAACTCTTTGCTTCGCCTCCAAAGACACTACTCTTACTTTTACTTCCAGACTCAAACACGATGACAACAAAAAGAGGAAAATTCTTCTTCTTGTGTTTTTCATAAATGGTCAACGAACTGAGAAGCTAACTGCTAGCCTTTATATGAGCTCCTAAAACAGTAAACCACTATTGCCGTAAAGCTGGGTTATTCAATTCCGGGCTTGGAGGGCCGGTATAGAGCACTTTTTAGTTTTAACTTTTGTTTCAACACACCTGATTTCAATCAGCAGGTGATTAACAAGAATCTGCAGAGCCTGGTGAGCTGCTGCACAGGTGATTCAACCACTGAATCAAGTGTGTTGGGAGCAGAGAAACCAAACAACTTAGGCCCTGTCCACACGTAGCCGTAACAGAGTTTTTTCACACGAAAACGGATCTTTTTAAAAACTCCGGCCAAAGTGAAGATCTGCGTTTTCTCCGTTTTGGGTGTCTGCGTGTGGACGGACAAAACCGGAGTTTTAAGGTCTGCAACGTCACTTTCCGCGACAAAAAAATGCTGACATCACGTGTGCGACCTGTGTTTACACTAGCCGACAGCATGGAAGCCCTCAGAGCTGCGCTCTGTCACTACCCGATCCATCAATTGTCCGAGCGCTTTCTGCTTGTTTGTTTTTGCAAGCGGAATTACTGCTCCTTGCGGAAGACCACAGACGAAGGACGAGGTTAAGAACGGGGGAAGTACTGCCGCCTACAGGTCTGGCATGTCCTTAACAACGTATTTATCCGGGTACGTGTGGACAGAGTTTGTTTTTTAAAACGCGGTGGTGTGGATGCAAGTTTTTGGAGGGGCGGATATTCGTTTTTAAAAAACCCCGGCTACGTGTGGACTAGGCCTAAAACATGTGTACTGGACCCCCAGGACCGGAATTGAATACCCCTGCTGTAACGCATGCAAAAACCTCCCACTGGTGTTCCTACCCAAACCAATAAACTGTTCAGCAGAGAGCTACAGAGTTCTGTCCAATGTGATGTTGCTCAAGGTTCTGGTTCAAGAACCACTGAAACCAGTTTGAAAGCAATAGCTTAAAGTGTTTACTCTTTAAATAAATAAATAAATAAATAAATAAAGGGATAAATCTCACAGAGGTTCATTAAAATGATTTTTCATGACCTTTACACTGCTTTCAGTTTGACATTACACACCCCAGGGTGCACCAGAAGCTATACATTTAGATGATGTGGGTGATATTTATGCATGCCGTTAAAGGTGCAATGAGAGGTTAGAAGAGTTTACTAAATAATCCAAATCTCTTGGAACATGAAATGTGGAAGATCGGAGCAATTTTAAGATGGCAGCATTGAGAGATGTACCCCAAAACCCAGCTGGTGATTGGAACAGGGCGATGTTCAACATCATATCAGCCAATCAAACTCAATAAAACAATTTCTTTGTAGCTTGTGAACACATCATTTCTAACCTAATAGAAAACAGTTTTTGCCATTCCTCGAACTCTTCCACAAAGTGCTAATTTACATTAGCAATAGCACACCTTTTGTTTTATGTGCATAATTTACTACCATCTTTATCTGCAGGTCAGAACCATGCACACTGAAACCAGAATCAGGGCTTTTGTTGCAGCAGCTTCAAGTGACATCCTGCCTGACCTCCTGACCCTCTCTCTGACCCCACTCCAACCCCCCAGGTACAGGCTGCCTGTTGCAGGCTGTGGAAACGGCAGCCCAGCGTCAGGCCCAAACAGTGGGCAAGCCCAACCACTTCATGTTCGACTGCGTGGCCTCCCAGTTCGGTGTGAACCCAGATCGCTGCCTGATGGTCGGGGATCGGCTCGACACGGACATCCTGCTGGGCTCCAACTGCGGCCTGAAGACCCTCCTCACCCTGACGGGGGTCAGCACCGTGGCGGAGGCCGAGGCCCACTGGGAGAGCGGTTGCTCGGAGAGGAAGGGGATGGTGCCGGATTATTACGTGGAGAGCATCGCAGACCTGCTTCCAGCTCTGCAGGGATGATACTGACTCGTATGTCAGGTTCCATCGTCTCTTTAAAAGGGAAAATTTTATTATAATCAAATTTAAGTTTCTGTTTCTGTTGTGTGACAAACAGCACTGAAACTAGATCTTATTTATGTAACTAACTAAATGTCCATTTTAAATGATTAGTAACACCAGAACAAATATGTCAGTATTTTCTGTGTATTTAAAGTTTTTAAAGAAACCTTGAATCTACTGGCCTCTTTTCCTGCGATGCTACTTCCTCTTAAGCACCTTTAAGGAAAACTCAACAAGGAGCACACACGTGGCAGCGTTGGTGTAATGATGTCCAGGTTTACATTTCTGTATCAAACTCTTTTGTGTTTGGAGACTTTGAAATAATGTGCATAGTCTGAATAAAATTCAACCATTTTCACAAACTCAGCTCTGTGGCTTCAGCTCAAAAGTCCCATGCTTAAAGTCACCTTGGGTTGTCATCGGCTGGACGCAGAGGCAGGCCCAAATCACCCATCAGCTGATGAGAGAGGCTTTCCTCGCTGCGCCTGCCTCGCCTCTTTGTCCATTGTCTGGACCAGGCAGCGCGGCCAGCGCCTCTCATGCGCGCGTGTGTGAGCCAAAAAATGTTGGACCGTGTTAGAGGTGTATTATCATTAGGCAAATCAGATGGGAGGCAGGAAGGTAACGCTTTAGAGCTTCCTGTGAAGTGTGTGTTGGGGTGGGAGGGTGTTGGTACCTAGAGAAGAAGAGGTGGGGGAGGAAGAGGAGAGAAGAAAGTGGGAGGTCTGAGGGGTGCGTGGGGGCCAAAAAGAAGCTGTTGCGGTGCACTGAGTCTCAGTCAGTGCTGGTAATGGACACAACTCCACGCCGATAGCTGTGAGAAGGGAGTCGACAGAGTGAGGAGTCGTCACGGGACACAGGATGGTGAGGTGCTGGAAGCGTTCAGAGGAGTGTCTGGAGGAAGAACACTGCACGGTGAGCACCATCTGCTCTGACGATACATTTAAACACCACTGGTTCATGTATGTGGAACCATCTCCTCAGGACGGGGCTCCTGTCTGGTCCCAATGTCCACACAAGGTGTTCTGGATCGGCCTCTCAGCCCTGCTGCTCCTGCTCGCTGTTGCCCTCCTCGGGTCGATGGGGCACCTCTGGATGTCCGGGCCCAGGTCTCAGGTACCTACATCCTTCACACTACCCTGGTGTGAACTTTTATCCCATTTAAAAGAATCCGTTTCTTCTAACTAGTCCTCGCATATAGTGAGAATCTCTGCACCTGATCAGAATGGTGTCCTGTTCAACCAGTCAGCCGTCGTGGACCAGTTGAATGAGCTGGTGACATTTTCAGTGACTGCACCAGTAAACCAGACATCCACTGTTCTTTTTGATGTCAAACAGGTGCGTACGAGATGTGCACAGATGTTCCCTCACTGCCGAAAGGCAAAATAAGGCCTACAATTTTCTTGAGTTAGCAAATCGTCTTACTGGGTGGATATTTTCTTAGTATTTTAATGAAACTCCAGGAAATAAACATCAAGTAGTCAAAGGTACGTAGCGCAGAAGCCCTCTGGTGGCTGGCTGCAGCACAAGTTTTAAGCCCCGCCCCCTTTATGTAAACTTGGGACATTTGAGTAAAAACTAAAATTAAACCTCAGATAATTCCAGGTGAATATTCCTGTTTGCATATTCGGTTTTTTAACTCCGTTTTATCGTTATTAAGCTGGAAGTTTGGTTTGCTAGTACCTAGGAGTCATCCCCACTACATACTTGGAGCACTTTGGCTTAGCCAATGGAGTCAGTCTTTTCTGTCTGTTAGCAAACTTTCTCACCAACTACAGGTCGACTCAAATAATACGCGGACACCCAAAATTTGGGGTCAACCTGTTGCAGCTGACCCCTATGAACACTATGGCTAGGAAGCAGCATTGTGCATGCTAAATGTTTGATTATTTTAATTTTGATTGATGATTTCCACCTACTATGACTAAAATGGTGGAAAAACATCTTTTGCTGTGCTTCAGGGTCTGATTTGCTACAAACCTGTCGACCGGGACGTCTGCTTCCTCCAAACGATGGAGCGGTCCGACTTCGACAACGTGAACCCCCTCCTCAACCAATCCACACTAGAGGTAACAGGTGGTAATGTATCTACTAACGCCATGTTCAACAGGGTTCACCTGCACTGCATCATGGGAAAAGTTCTGGTTTTGTTACTTTATAATTCAAGGAGAGACTCAAGAAATGGCTGCTAGAAGATTTGAATTATAATTCAGGAGATGTTTCTGAATGGCAGCTTGATCCTGTCAGATGAAACCTGCCAGGGCTCAGGGGTTCCTGGCAGTGCCGCACAATGAGGGAGGTGAAGCGTTCAGGGCCTCGAGGTGCCTTTTAGTCTCCTCCTTCGGTCTTCGCAGCTGAATTCCTCAGCACATCTGATCCCTCCAGCCCCCTCGGCGTGTTCGGGATCTTTTTACAGGAGGTCACAGCAGCCAGCCACCAGTCCCGTTCGGGGCACAATGGTCGCTCTGTGTCGGGGCTCTTTAGCTTTTAGGATTCAAACACAGCTCGATGGGAGTCAAAGGGCCCGTGTGTATCTGCCTGTTGGCAAATACCTGGAGCTCTAATAGTGACTTAAATAGTTCTGATTCGATTCCTATTGGGCTCAGATATGATTTGTGTTGGGTTATCTGATTTTTCACTATGGAAGAAGTGGGTTCTCACCAGGAAACTGAGAGGCAGCTCTGTTTCTTATCCCACGTGTGCACAAAGCCTCTTATCCACTCCGGTCTGGTGGTGTCACGTCTCACACTGCTTCTCATCATCCAACCTGCTGATGGACTCATTTAATCTCTCATAGCTGGGATTGTAATTCTGCTTTGAGGCATAATAATCTCTCCCATCAGAGGAGAAGCAGAGCCGCGTTTGTAGTGGTTCACTCTCAGTCAGTCAGAGGTGTAAGTGGTGTAATCACACTCTCTCATTGTGAGGAGGCAGCGTTTTTAGGTTTTTGATGCCGCGCTTCTCTCCTCAGCAGAGGCGGTTTCAGATTCCCAGTAATGAGACTCAGAGGCAGACGGAGTTTCTGGGAGTGCTGGCAGCCAGTCGGGTGAACGTGTCCTCGCTGGAGGAACCAGTTCAGGTTCTGTGTCGGGACAGGTCCATCCACTGGACCCGAAGGGCTGATGGTGAGAGCTCCAACACGTAAACTCACAATGTCTCCCACAACATGTGCTTCATTGTTCCAAGAAATCCTTTTCTTTTTATTTTGCTAAATTTTTTACCAATTTTATTGAATCTGTTTGCTTTTTTGTTTAGAATTCCATATTTTATGGTCCAACGTAATTTATTTAGAATCTGGAGGAGAAACAGAGCTGGAAAATCTAGATAATATTCAGTTTTTACTTCATTTTGTGTTTTTCTCCATAAACAGTCAAACTGCATCAAGAAAACTGGAAAATATATTTTTAAACTAAACAAATACTAAATTATTTTAAGTTAATTCATGCATTATGCCAAAAAAATGTCCAATAAACATTTTTTAAAACTCTTTTTAAGGATGTGCCTACAAACGATCTGTCAGAAACTTAACAATCTGGTGGAAAAGCTGCAACTAAAGACCCAAAAATGATGTCATACATAAGCAAACTTGACCATGACCATTTACAACCAATCGTTTAGTCAAAGTAACAAACCCGTACTCATGGATCATTAAATGTTTGGAGCTGTACAACATCATCAGAACTCTGAGAACCTTCATTGCCAACTCAATGGGATGGTGGAAAACCTCCCTTGAGGCCAACTGCACAAGTCTCCATAAAATGTGGCATATACCAAGGAGACGCCCTGTTCCCACTGCTGTTCTGCATAGGTCTGATCCGCCTCTGCCAAATAATCAACAAGACTGGCTATGGATACTGGTTCAAGAATGGAACCACAATCAGCCACCTCCTCTACACGGATGACATAAACCTATACGACTCACTGATCCACACCACCGGGATCTACAGCACTGATGTCGGAATGTCATTCGGACTTGAGAAGTGTGGTCGGATGGAGACAAAGAAAGGGAAGGTAGTCCACACAGAAGGGGTCTCACTCCCAGAAGGAACAACAGCAGACATTGAGGACAGCTACATGTACCTTGGTGAGGTCACAAGGAACGGAGCAACAGCCAAATGCCTACAACAAGTAAGGCAAGTCCTAAGAAGTCCGCTCAATGGCTAAAACAAGATCTGGGCAATAAGCCGCTACGCCCTGCCAGTAATCAGATATCCTGCAGGAATAATAAGCTGGCCAAAGGAAGAAATACAGACCACAGATGTTTAGACACAGAAACTCCTAACCATGCATGGAGGGTTCCATCCCAAATTCAGCACCCTGAGACTGTGCACTAGCCGTAAGGAAGGAGGCCGAAGACTAGTGAGTGTGAGAGCCATCGTGCAGGATGAAACATCCAAGATCCAGAAGTACATCAAGGACAAGGCCCCAACAGATGACGTGGTCAGTGAATGTCTCAGACAATGGCGAACAGTGGAGGAGATGCTGGAAATACCATCATGGGAGGACAAACCCCTACATGGGATGTACCACAGGAAGGGCGACGGTGGCACAGGAGTTAAGTGCTCGCCCCGTAATCGGAAGGTTGCAGGTTCGAGCCCCGCTCAGTCTGTCGCTGTTGTTGTGTCCTTGGGCAAGACACTTAACCCCCTTGCCTGCTGGTGGTGGTCGGAGGGACCGGTGGCACCAGTGCTCGGCAGCCTCGCCTCCGTCAGTGCGCCCCAGGGCAGCTGTGGCTACATCGTAGCTCATCCCCACCAGTGTATGAATGTGTGTGTGAATGGGTGAATGACTGATTGTGTTGTAAAGCGTCTTGGGGGGTTCCAGGACTCTAGAAGGCGCTGTATCAAATACAGCCCTTTTTTTTTACCAACAGATAACTGAAATGGCTGATATCAAGAAATCCTACCAATGGCTAGAAAGAGCTGGTCTGAAGGACAGCACAGAGGCACTCATCATGGCTGCACAGGAACAGGCCCTGAACACCAGAGCAACAGAGATCAAGATCTACCACACCAGACAAGACCCAAGGTGTAGGTTAGCAAAGAGGCCCCTGAGACTATCCACCACATAACTGCAGGGTTCACGATGCTGGCAGGGAAAGCTTCCATGGAACGCCACAACCAAGTGGCTGGCGTCGTGTACAGAAACATCTGTGCAGATGATGGACCATGAAGCTAGAGGCAGACTGATGTGTTTTTTTTAAAGGCCGATACCGATTTTTCAAGTATTTTGTTGCTGATGGCCAATATCTAAAGCAGATTATTAAGGCAGATAAATATGTTTTAGCAGCACACTGAACACTCACTGTGTGCAATATAAATTAAATAAGTCAACAAATCTCTTTGATATTTATTGAACTTCAAATATAAAACAAACTCAAAACATTTAAAAAACGGTGTGTTGGGTCCTTCGGGTCCTGTCTTCAGTCTAGTAGTGGCGGCAGTTGGCCACACAGGTGCCTGATTTTTTTTTCCATCGGCTTTTAAAAATAATTTCGGCTGATACAAAAACAATTTAATACAACGGCCCGATAAATCGGCTGGCCTCTACTGGAAGCCCCAAGGTCAAAGAGGGTAACACCCCTAAGGTGGTTGAGAACGAGAGAGCCAAGCTCCTGTGGGACTTCCAGATCCAGACTGACAAAATGGTGATGGTGAACCAACTGGACATTGTGGTGGTGGACAAACAACAGAGGACAGCCGTTGTGGTTGATGTGGCAATACCAAGTGATGCAACATCAGGAAAATGGAACATAAGAAACTAGATTAGTACCAGGGCCTCAAAGAAGAACTTGAGAAAGCCTGGAGAGGGAAGACATCGCTGGTACTTGTGGTCATCGGGGCAGTAACCCCGAAACTGGAGGAGTAGCTAAAGCAGATCCCAGGAAAAACATCAGACATCTCAGTCCAGAAAAGAGCAGATCTAGGAACAGCTGAGATACTGCACAGAACTTTAAGCTCCCAGGCCTCTAGTAGAGGACCCGAGCTTGGAAGGATGAGACCACCCACAGAGGGTGAGATGGGAATTTGTTAAAGGATACACACCTGAGTTTTCCCTCAGAGAAAGAAGTTTTATTCAACTCAATATTAATTTCAGAGAAATAAAACACCAATCTGACCCTTGGTGATAAAAGTAACCCCCCTTGTTACACATCATCAACTAAAAGAGAATTAATCACGTTATTTGGACAACTGTAAGATTCCGATTTACTTCAATAGTGTGACACAAATTAGACACAAAAAAAAACCTCAAAAAGCAACTCGGTCTGCTCCATTCTACAGGGAAGTAATGGAACCCAGAACATCTAGTGTAAGGAGATGGATGGTCTGAGGGGGCACGTGCTCACACTTTACTCACAACCTCATCTCAGGAGTCTGGTCTGTAACAAACCAGAGCCTAATCTATGTGGCCTCTCCTCACATCAAGCTGCATGTTGGGGTTAAATATTCTAACCTTTCAGGACACGCGGGGTAAATATCACACAGGCTGGTTATAAACCACTTAGGATCCGATGTGGAAACGTAATAAATAATGTCAGAAAACCTGAGTTGATTCTGGTTCTTCCTGGGGGTGTGTGTGTGTGTCTTATCTCAGGTCCAGGCAAACAGAGGCTGGTCTACTTCTGCATCGACATCTGCTTCCCCAGCAACATCTGTGTATCCGTGTGCTTCTACTATCTGCCTGAGTGACTGTGTCCTTACAGCACGAAGATCAGCTGTTTCTGCTTCATCCGAGTGTTCCCCTTGAGCCTGACCCCTCCTGCTTCTGTCTGAAGAAAAGAAAACACAAATGTGTGTTTCTAAATCCTCCTTGTTGCTCTTTTCATGTGTGAAAACCTCTCTGGTGGCACGTTTCAGAGACCACAGAACAGCAATCCCCTTTTTTAGACACGAGGAGCATAATTATGTGTAACTGTACTGTCGTAGTCATGTTTTTATCTAATAAAAGGCTTACTGTAAGGATACTTCTTTAATCCTTTTATTACCAGCTTAGCGGTACATAAATGTGAAGTGTTTTCTACACGGAGAAGATGGATAAATATACAAATCTGTAAAAACACAAGATGAGTTTCTTAACGGAGCCATTTCTGTAAAGTTTCCAGCTAAAATATGCATTTGGCTCTTGAGTTTGTGAATTTGAACGTGTTGTGTTGCTTTGCTGATTGTTTGCTAGCGTGTGGCACCAAAACCTTGATTATTCTGGGAGGTTTTGTTAACCGTGTCCCAAACAACCACATCTGTGGCTCCTGTCAAAGCAGAGGAACGTCCCGTCCTCACAGTCCTTCTCTGAACGTTTTTGTCACTTCCTGTCTTTCTCAACCGAGCACGCTGTCGTTAAAAGCCAGACACACCACGGCCTTTTGGTGGCCGCTGTACTCCCTCTTGATCTCGCCCGTCTCCACACACCACAGACGGGCCAGGTTGTCTGAAGACGCTGTGGGAAAAACAAACAGGAATCAAAGTCTGCTTTAATGTGTTCAGCCCACTTTCTAACATGAACACATATTTATTTAAAAAGTATTGAAGCTGTTTGTTTTCTCACGTCATTTTGTTCATAAACTTACTGACCAGCAGAGGGCACTGCTTTCAGAAATGAACCCTTCACCGGCACAAGCGGACAAAAACCTTCATCTACCATCACTAACAAAGCTTAAGCACAGAGAGGAATAAGATTTTATTAAAGGTTTGGTTCACTTGTTTAATACATCTAAAGTGGTCTCTAGCAGGAAGGAAATCCTAGGACACTGTTTCATGTTCAGCCTGCATGATACACTCAAGAGTGACTGATTATGATCAGAAATAAGATTTTAAAAATGAGTTTTCAGTGAACCACACCTTTAATGGTTACGTATTATAATCTGTGATGGGAACGTTTAAAACAACGGGGTTACTAACAGATGTTAGTTTTTGCAGTAGTGACAAATCTACTTAATTACTGTCATTTTTCATAACGCCGTGTCCATTACTGATAAGAAAATGTGTGCGTTGCTATGATTCAGCAGAGCGGTGTGTTGAAGCTGTCATCAGCTGATTGGAAGATCAGCGCCTCACAGCCCGTGATGAACGAAGAAGACGTGATGAATGGTCTATGGCTACAGAACTGGTGACCCGCAGATTCGCTGCTGCAGGCGTGAACCTGCGCTGCGGTCTGCAGCTGTACCATTCTTCTATCTAGATGATCCAACTGGATCCGGTTCCTGATTATTTCTTTTGTTCCGCTGTACCACTGACTGTGTCAGTCTCAGACGTCATGGGTGCTCAGGTGCAACTAGAACTAAGTGTGTGTCTTTGCCACCCAGCTTCTTCTGTGTTTGGGTCTGACCCAAGTTAGTAAAGCTAAAGAGCAAGTCACCCCCGGCCAGACTCTTACTCCACTCCCACTTCCTGTTTGAAAAACACAACGAATGCTGTTGCCTGGCGGAGCCGCTAACAAATACAAACAGGTTCGCAACTGCACTGTGACATCACAATGTACCAGCTGACATCATAGTGTACATCTTAGCCAATAACGATGGCAGATTTAAATTCAAATGCAGTGCAGGGAACATTGAGTTTCAGGCAGAATATTTAAATGTTAACTAAGTCGCACTAAAGTGCCAAATTATTGACTGCATGTGTCTACAGCACGATTGGACACTCATTTATATAATTTATCAGCAAAAGAGTAGATTAGGGGGCGACTTGCTCTTTAAGACCTCCATCAGATTTGCGCCTTTTCTAGTGTCACTCTTGAGGATTTTATTGATAAATTTATTTAACCATTACTAGATTAGCAGCAACAGAAATGCTACTAAAAACACACAATTATGTAAAACTGGAAAAATTAGAATACTGTGCAAATTACATTTATTTCAGTAATTTAACTAGACTGAGAGACCATTTAAAGGTTCAGGAACCCTTTGCAGGTGTTTTCTATTTGCAATTATAAATGTTGTTGATTGGGGTCTTGTTCCACACATTTGAATAGTTTAGATTAGTGTAATGATTCCCGTTTGTAGTTCCTCCTGTTTATTTCAACTTTTCAGTTTCATAATAAACATTTGAACATACATTTTATTATGTTCAAATCTTATTAGTCATTTATATTTTAGTACTGTAGTAATTTACAGTAAATTAGGCTATTTTTATTAAGAAGGGAATCCCATTTTTCTTACATTCTTTTATTTAAAAAATAAAGTAGGAAAATACCAGTAGTTATTTTTCTTGGTAATTAGTTACTTTTATAATCTTGTACCTCAGTAACTGAGTTGCTTTTTTTAACAAAGTAATTAGTAACTGTAACAATTTACTTTATAAAAGTAACGTTCCCATGATTATAATGAACAATAAACCGTGTTTGTTTCCAAATGAACCCAGAATGTCGTTTACACCCCGTCCTCTACGGCAAACAGACCTGTAACGATGTACTGGGAGTCTCCAGAGAACGCACAGTCCCACATCCAACCCCGGGACGTCTCTCCTGGATTGTTGCTCTTGATGCTCAGCTCTGTCATCAGAGAGAAATTGGACGTTCTCCAGATCTTACAGGTCTGATCTGCTGAGCAGGTGGCCAGCAGTCTAGAGGTGAACACAAAAATGCAGCTGCAGCTCACGCAGAAAAGGGTTTCTGAATGTGTCGTGGTTTGGGGAGAAACCGCTCACGTGGAATCTGGGCTGAACTTGCAGCGCAGGGAGTAGCGTTTGTGTGCTGGGATCTTTGTTTTTGGAATGAGCTGAGTCACTTCATCTCCCATCCCTCCAGCCAGGTTCCACACATAACAGTTTCCCTGTTGAGCACAAAAAAGAACCGGTTTGCTTTTGTCTTTTTTAAATTACCCAGCATGGCCGATATTCTCATTTGCAGACTGACCGAACTGTTGACTGCTGCCATGTAACTGGCATCTGGGTCAATATGAACAGAGTTAACCGAGACTTCTGGTTCTGGAATCAGCTGTTCGTTGTGGTCTGTTTTCAGATCCCAAATATGAATCACTCCACTCTGGTCTCCGACTATCAACTCAGCCTGGAAAACACACAACAGTTAGAGCATTTGGAAACACTGTCACTTTAAACTAAAAGACTAAGATCCCAGAGACAAACGCAGCATGGCTAACCTGGTTGGGATGCAGGCACACACAATTAATGGGAGCGTTTACTTGAAAGATCCTCTGACACTGCAGGTTTCTGGACCTAAACAAGAAGCAGGGTTTATTTTAAGTTGGAGCTCACGGGTTTTCAGTAAGTCCTGCTACACTGACCTCAGGTCCCATATGCGAGCCATGCAGTCCTCTCCTCCCGTGTACATCCAGCGCCCGTCTTCATGGAAGCCCACAGAAGTGATGTTCTTGCTGACGCCGTCGTAGTTGATGACGGGGTTTGGGTTGTTGGAGTTCAGGTCGTACATGCGGATGTGCTGGTAACCTTTGAAACAGAATGCACATTACCTGTGAGATAAATCCAAAGCGTTTAACGTTTTACTGGTTCAATTATTTGCTTTTCTTAAAGAACCTGTCTGATTTAGGGGTTGTACGAAATAGTCGACTAGTCGACTTCACGGCTCTGTAGTGACTTTTTATGCCTGTCATCAACTAGTCGCTGTCACGTCATAATGACTGACAAGATGCAGTCCTCGGAAAAGACAGCAGGTGATGAGCCCCTGCGCGTCTGGATCGAGGCGGAGGCGACGCGCTGTGCGGTACTGACACCGGCGGTAAAACGGACATTTAACCAAACTGTGACCTTTTCCCTCTTGCAATTTAACCTTCCCCTCACCCCCATCCTAATCTTAACCAGTTTGCGCATGCAAAGCTCTGATCGTTGACGCGCTCCAGACATTGCGTCCTGAGCACCGCCAAATCAGGTGTCACCACCTCAAAAACAAATTAAACACGCGATCGTTCATGTCGGCTCATTTCCTTTCATGTTTTCTGTCTGTTATTTGTGCCTGATGCATTTCGCTGCTGCGGAGCGATGCGCATCACCTGTTGTCCTCCGGTGACGCACCCCCAAGATTCCACTATCTCTCCACTCCGCTCTGGCACGAACTCCGCAGCAAAAACGGTCCCGTTGTAGTTGGCCGGCGAGCAGCGGCACTCCGCTGTTTTTGCGGTCGGTAGATCTTTTAGAACTGCAGTTCAAAGGTAACTCATAAGGTGAATATATATGAACCCAGGTAGCAGGTTTTCTTTAGGACTGAGAGGAGATGCAGGAAGATAATAAAGACAGGACAGAAAAATAGTCAAATAAAAACAAGTTAGTTTTTGTACCTGGTGGTTGCAACAAACAGACACCACTGAATGTAATCAGAAGTGAGGAACAGAAAATGAAATCATTATTTGAATGTTTAGAGCAGCAGGAAAGGCTGCAGGCGCATCAGTGAGATTGCGGCTGCTGCGCAGGGGGAGGGGGGAGAGGACTGAAGTAGGATGCAGAAACTACCGTTGTTAAAAGAGATGTGTTAACTTAGAAAATGTGGGCGCAATTTTAATTGTCAAAAACTCCAGCGAATCTATCGACCGACCCCCCCCCCCCCCGCCACTTCCGGCGTATGACGTCATCAACGACTAGTCGAAGTCGACTTGACTTTCATTACTTGACTGTCGACTTTAAAAAAAATAAAGTCGTGCAGGCCCTAGTCTGATTTTGTTTTTTGCAAATGCCACCAAATCCCATAAACTAGTCCCATTCTTCGCTCAGTATTTTGCTGAAGCATTCAACAACAACTAGAGCCAATGAGGTCCTTTTCAAATCCTGTCCAACCAACTGAACCCATCGCAGGTAGATTCTGAAGGCGGATAAGCTTTACAAAACAATTTATATTTTATAAATATGGGGTACTGTAAGTAGAGAAACACACAACGTGAAGCTCTATTGATGCATGCATGAACCAACCTGCAGCTGCAATCATACTTCTGTCAGGCGTCACCTCCAGGGAATTGACTTGCTGGGGGAAAATGTCAAGAAAATAAACTTTTATTATATGTCTAATTATTGCATTCTGTTTCTGTAAAGGGTTTCTTTAAAAACAAATACGACAATCGTTAGCTCAAGCACAAGTACCGAGTCCTGGTGCTGGACCGTCCTGGTGCAGATCCCACTGTGGGCCTGCCAGAAGCGGACAGTGTGGTCATATCCCGCCGTGGCCAGAATAACCGGGTCGCTGCCCACCGTCCCCTGGTTCACATTCATGTTTCCACAGCAGTCTGGTTGTCAGAACCGTCAATGCTACACTAAGATAATGAAAATTAGCATTCTGACCTTTACTAAAAGGGATGAAAATCACAGCTTAACAGAAGCTAGTCTTAGCTCAACAAGCTAACCAAGGTCGAAGTTTAACACTTTCGAGATTAAACCGTTTTCTGCGACAACACCTCTCACCTTACAGTAAAACAGCGATATTTGATAAACAGCATTTTGTTTACATTACCCTCTGCCGTCGATTCAGGAAAAAACGCGTCTTGGTTAAAAGCGTCCTCCAGAAACCAGAGTTCCGTTACAAACGTTCCGTGTTGATGAGTGCATTACCGCCACTTACTGGTGAATTAGAAATTAACAGGACGAACTGTCTGGATTTACGTCATGTTAATAATAAATATATTGCATTTATTAAGAATAAAATACCTCTAAGTCTACCGTGGGTTTAGTTTCGCCCTGAGGCCGCACGATCTGATGTTTATAGAGCTGCAGTTAACCGCTTCAGCTTGTTTATTTTATCGTGTTCAACACAAATAATTAAAAGTTAAGTAGTCTGCATATGTAAAGATGATATGGCTTTCCAGTCATCTAGACAAACTACGCTAATTCAATAATCGTAGTAATTTTAAGTGGTTTTATCTTCAACCACTTGTCTCCAGAAGAGGGCGATCCCTTACTCTCGAAAGCTAGACTCAGTTCTCGTTTTTTCATCCAGCTGACCTAGCTAAACATAAAAATTCATTACATATGTGGCCATTAATCAAAACAAATGACAGATTATAAGTACGGTAATTAAATTAAACGTTTATTCAGATAAAGAACAACCCGTATAAAAGAACTGTTTCTCTATTCTGTAGTTGTTACTTTTGCTGCATTTGTTTTCTTTTATTTAAATTATATGAAAAGGTTACAAATTTGTGAGATCCAAACAAATCTAAATGGTTTTCCTGTTAAAACAGAAATGTTTACCTTTTGAAAAATAATTCCCATGTATGAATGTCTGTTTATTAGACGCTGTTGAGTATTTATTGGTCAATAACTAATAATTAAGTTTGATATCTGACATGTTTGATTAGAAACTACAAACTCATGCTGGTAAAAATGTTATCTAAATATATTTATTTGACCTATTTGATGCATAGACTTTTAAGTTATGTTATGCAATAAAATAAACATTTGATTACTTGTTTTTAAATATGACTGAAAATATTTAATAAGCAGACGCCCAGCGCAACACCCGCTCACACATCTGAAGTAAGCCACTGATATGTGAACTCATGTTTTCACCAGTCGTTTTAAAATCAATGCATATAAAAGTACACATGACTGAATCAATACAAAAGTTAATTCATGCAATTATTGATGCTTATACTACCATTTGTACTCTTTAATAGTAACATTACCCCTCTTGTTGTCTATTGAATTTGTCTTTATTTCATATATAAATATTCTGTAATTTTTTATTGTCTCATAATAAACCTACATATAGTGGTTTTACATTTAATAACTACTATTTTGCCTTCATAAGCTTATTTATTCTTAAAATTAGCAGCTTCAATCCTCCACTGAATACGAATTGTTTAAAGTAGAATAAACCCACTAATTGAAATGTTTTAAGGTTTTAATTAGAAAACAATCTTTTTAACTCACTGGCTGATTATTGACATTAATGCAACAGAAGAGTAAACATGATCTCACAGGATATTATCAGCACACTGCTTTTAAACAGATGTTTATTTTAACATTTATCAAACACTTTAATAACATGAATAAATACATTAAGTTAAATAAATAAATATTGTGGATACATAAATTATCGTTAATACACAAAACCCACATCCTCCGAGCACCATCTGAGCCAAACAGAACTGTGATGACCCAGGCTGACAGGAACAGATGTGCTGAACATCTGCTGATTAAACATGCTGCAGCAGAGCCGACATGTGCTGCTTCACCTCTCCCGGATCCGCCAGCGAGCAGGACAGGATCGCCCCTCTGATCCCGCTCTTCATCTTAGTAGAAGGAACGATCTACAACACATTGTGTGATTTTAGAAACACGTGACTTGTTTTGAAAGAAACTTACAGAGAGATCAGAGGCTCACTGTACCTTCACATATATTTTGCACCTTTCCAAAAGAAGCCTCCATTTCAGAGCAGTTCGCTGATCATCAGTCAGACGAGTGAACTCGTCTGTCTGTAACAGATTTAACAGTTTTCTTCAGCTCACACTTTACAGGTGCATGAAGTCAGAATGACATCCTGTGGTCAGATTTGGGTACTGATCAAAACAAACAAGTTCGGTCCGAGCAACTGTTCTGAGCTGCGGTTCAGCTCCCGAACATTCTAGATGAGTAGGCAACCCTGGTCCAGCAATTTTTAGTTGTTTCCCTGCTTCATCACAGTAGATTCACCTGTCCAGCAGCTCATCGGCCTCTGCAGACACCTGTTAATCACCTGCTGATTAATATCTCAGGTGTGCTGAAGCAGAGAAACCTCTAAAACATGCTGATCTCTGGGATCAGAGTGGCCTACCCCTGTTCTAGAGGAAAAGCGTCACACACACTAAAGCTGGTTTCCCAGGAACACTACTCAGAGCAACTCGGACCGATGCAGCTCGGTCTGGCTACTGCTCCCAAGGGCAGGGTCCGGTATCATCTCTCCACTTTCTCCCCTATTTTTAGTCCCTGCTCTGTTGAGGTAACTGGCAAGGCTGAGTCAGGCCGACATCGTGATTCTGGCCTCTGATTGGCTAGGGGGCAGAGTCACTGGTTGCTACGGAGGTTTTTGCTTTCTGTTTCACTGCTTGCAACCATTTCCTGGTTCAGAGCCTGACAAAAAGCCATAAAACTGAGCAAAAATGTCCAGCAACACCACCATTTTTCAGCTGAGTTGTTGCTATGGAGCATACAGGTTACCTTGCACTGTTTACTGATCCCCTCATGCTACCACGACTGCCACCCCCTTCCCCCGCACCTTTGAGAGGCACACCCACTTTGTTTCATGGAGCTGGCATGGGACCAAAGCTACACACAGATGGGCTGACTCAAACCATGCTGTACTGAGCTGTTTGAGGCTGAGTAGTGTTCCTAGAAAAAAGGCTCAAGTCAGGGATATTCAATTCCGGGCCTTGAGGGCCGGTATCTAGCATGTTTTGGTTTTAGCCTGCTTCAACACACCTGATTTAAATCAGCAGGTGATTAACAGGCTTCTGCAGAGCCTGATGAGCTGCTGCACAGGTGATTCAAGCACTGAATCAAGTGTGTTGGAGCAGAAAAACCACAAAACCTGCTGGATATCAGCTCACGAGGCCCAGAATTGAATAGCTCTGCACTAAGTTGATCAGTCAATAAATACATTCACTGTTAGCGCAATGCTAGCCTCTAGCCTTCTTTAGCTAATATTAACTCATTCACTGCCAGTTACTGATCGGTAAAGCCGTTCGCTGCCAGTGTTTCTCACTGTTTTTGTTTTTTAAAGAGTCACAGAACATTGCGCGCTAGGATGATGTCGGATGGTCAAACTTCGGATTCAGGAGGCCAACTCTGGCTTTGGGAGAGAACCGTGAATTTTATGAAGCTGTAAATGTGTAATCCAATGAGCTATGTCAATAAATAAATTAAATGAAACTGAGGGGCAAGTATTGGGACAGGGCCTACGTCCTCCTGCAGCCTTTTAAAAGGAGATAAACCGCCAACCCCCCAGCTGGATGAGAAAAAAATCAGTGTCAATGTAACTTTCCCTCCTATATGATTGAGACATTAGTTTTGTGATTATTTCACCATGAAATTCTTACTTATTGCACCTTTAACCTTAACGTGCTACTAAAAAGGTACGAACCGTGCAGCCGAGTGTCTTCTCTGCCACCGGGCCTCTGAGGCTGCAGACCTGCATGGTGCCAGTGTGGTCTGTGAAGTCCACCAGCAAGTCAAAGTCTGTCGAGGCTGAAAGAGCTTGATCCTTCCCTGGGCACAGCTGGTTGGTGCACATCTGGATGTCCTCAATCACCTGGAACCTACATTTGGAGCTGCAACAGGAGAAAATAACTGATCCAGGTACTGACCTGAGGGAAAGCACACCTAAAAAGAACTGGATGTTTCTTTGACCCCGTAGTATCTCACCACCGCGTCTTTATGACCTTTGAAACAGATGAGTCGAGGTCAAACTTGGAGATAAAGCAGTACGTGATGCCAAAGAAGGCCTCGGGGTGCTCTTTGGCTTTCTCCTTCAGCTGGCTAACCGTGTACACATCCGTGATGGACTCCACTACAGAGACAAAAGCACGGACACACACTGGCGTCTGCTCAGCCTGTAACAGAGCCTGTCGTTTCTTGGTCAACAAACTCTGAAAAAAACTTGTGTGATCCATCAAGGTTGGGCTGTTTCAGTTGGACAGTTTGGGGGAAATGCTTTAAACCTCTCTTGTGTGTTTTTAACGTTCCTGTTATTTTACTGATTGTCACTCATTATTTCACCGGACCTGTGAGATGATTCATGCCTCAGTTAATTCGTTTCTGCAGGAAACTCTTTGTTACTTTTGGCGTTTTTGTTTACTCGTTCGACTCGAGATAGATAATCAGATCACGTCCTTGTGAAAACATCCCACTAAAAATAGACCCATTTGTTTTTTGGTTGTGTTTTCTGTTTGACACATGACACAACGGTGGTCCATCCCTTGAGTTAGAGAAGCCTTTGTGTGCCTGAAGGATAAACGGATCAGTTAAAGGGCCGGTTAAAAGAAAAACATTTCTCTAAAAGTGCGTGGGGGGGAAAGCAGCTACCGAAAATCTTTGACAGAACTTTAAAAGTCTGGATAAAAATGGATGAAGATAACTTCAAAACATTATAAGAAAGTGTGAAAAGAACATATAAAGTTATGACTAAAGTCCAGATGGTGGTGACCTTTAGGCCCTGACAGAAACCCACCAGGCAAATCCTCCGATGCCTCATCCTGGTCCAGAACTCCAAACTCAGAGACTTCTTTAGCGTAGCTGAACAACAAGCTGGCCTCTCTCGTGTCTGAGAACAAAAGCAAGACCCCAAGCTTTACTGCTCAAAGAAACATATTCTAGAGAGGAGGTATCGTCGCTCATGTCCCTGCGCCGCTTGCCCGACTCAGGCTTGTTTTGATTCCCAGCAGAAGGAAGTGTTTAGACAGCGTGAGTGTAGCTGTGCTCTCTTACCAGGATTGACAGTGATGATGCTTTTTGAGTTAACAGTTGCCACCATGCTGCTGCGAAAGCTGTCAAAGCTCATCTTGGCCTCTGCTATGAAGAGCACTTTGAGAGCAGATTAAGGGTTCAAACAAGCAAGTTTTATCTTAAAGTCACATCTCAGATATCCGTATTCCTGCCAGGAATGACGGTTAGATTGTGATTTATTCTGTGACTGAGAATGAGAAGCAGCTGTCGGCCTACCCGTCTCTCTGGGCACCAAAGTCTGCATGAGAAGAATGGTCTCCCGGTCCCAGCTGCGAGTGAAGCAGAGGGAAGACCGGGTTGATCTGAAGCGTTGTGTGACCGTAGACACGGTCAGATAGGAAGAGAAAATATGGCTCACACCAAGAAATTCTTTAGCTAACTTTCCAGAGTAAAAACTGAGTGACGCACCAGACGAGAGGAAATGATGAGACCGAGTCATCAAACAGCTTCACCTCCAGCCGCTGCCCTCTGCGACCGTCTGAAGTGGTGAACTGTTTAGCATCTCCGATCTGAAAACAGGATCACATCAAGTTCCTCTCACAGCCTCGTTTCTGCTTATGAAACAATGCTTTAGCTGAAGAGGGGTGCGTTCACTGCCTTCTCTTATCATATCTCTTATCAACGCTATAGGAGGTCTTCTTATGGCTTTTACATGACTTAAAAATATGGTAATGAACACTTTCTTCTAATGCTTATTTGGACGAGTAAATATGTCCAAATAAGTCCAGAGCAGGAGCTTTCCAGTCGAACTCTGTACATTGTAATTGTTTTTCATGATGCGTATGTAATTGATTATTTGTTTAATTTTTGTGACTGTTCTGCTGCTTCTTGGCCAGGTATCATTTGTAAAAGAGGTTTTTAATCTCAGTGGGACCGTTCCTGGTTAAATAAAAAACAAACAAACAAACAAAGATTTCCTTAACTGAGACTTATTTTAAATGCAAATATTTCTGCATTTGTTTCTTACCTGTTTCACTGCAGCCAGCACATTTATCACTGTGCCATCTAATTGTTGCCCATTGGCCACAATGTCTCCCAGAGAGTAAAAATCTCTGGAGTCCTTAACAGGGAGGTGAATCAGAGGCAGCAGCCTATCAATGGTGGTCGTGTCGGCACACAGGTGCACCTGGGAGTGAGCCTCGGTCACCAGCAGCCTGTAAGGGCTAAAGCACCAAATACAAACCATTTAAACTGTGAAGAGGATCACTTCTACAAACTTTACACAACGTTACGCCATGCTTTTAAAAGTTTTATCTAGCTATAAGGTAAACAATATTTCACAAATGGGGTGAAAAGTTTACCTGGGTGTTGTAGGACAGAACTTGTCTCCTTTATCTGGGTCTTTGTTGGAGACTAAAGGATTTTCAATTGTGACTGAAAAAACATGAAATGTCTTCATTTAAATATAGTTAAGTTGTGCTGTGATTATATGTATTGCTGCACATTTTTTAGAAAGTCATTAAGAGTTATTATTTTCATCCGGAATCATTTTAAAATGTAAGTTTAGGTCACTCAAACACTCTCAGTTTGACATTTTAAAAGTGCTAAAATAACCATAGCTCCACTTAATTATTATGATTAAGTGGAGGATTTTCCTCAGGTTTTTGAATTGTTGAAACTCACCACAGTCTCCGATGCTGAAGCTGCTGGCAAGCCCGTTGATAAATCCATCATTTCCCCAGGCTGTCACATTAATGAAGAAATCAGGAGAGTCTCTTATAGTGAAGCCAAAAGTGAATCGTTCTTTCTCAGGATCTGAAAGTAAAGGACAGACAAAGGTTTAGTTAACTCAGACTAAAGAGCACATTGAGAAAATGACCAGCAGAGGGCGCTGACTGACAAGACATCTAGGTCACATGAGTTTCATTTACATATATAATAAAATTGATACTAACTTTTTCTGTCAGGGAAACTTCTGACATCAGTTTTTCCAATGAGGATTCCTGCCACATTCTGGAAAAACAACATTATGACAATGACTAAAAATGAGTAATAAATCAGATCGAATTACAGAATTACCAAGATCAACTATTAAACGTCAATCAGTCACTACAGTATAATTCATGTCTGACATACTGAAAAGTGATGCCTAAAAAATAAAATACACCAGACTGGATGAAATTCAAACTTACTGGATGAGAGAAGTTGGGATGAAGCTCTGAAATAGCGATGTAGTTGTGAGCAGCCATTTCTTCATTAACTCTGAAACGTAACAAACTGATATAAAAATAGCTTGCATCTATTTTGTCTATTTTCCTTATTTATTTTTTACTAACTGTTATAGACCTTCTTGTGTCTTTATTGATTGAAACAAGCTCAAGACATTGAGAGCAATGAGCAAGTTTAGCTAACACTAGCTGAAAGTGTTCATTAGCTACATCACAAAACTAAGTTGTTAGATGGCGGAAAGCTTATTATCTTTTGTTAAGTTTATTTTTTGTTTAAAATTTGTCTGAAAGTTGATAATTTCCCGCGTTAAAACCAAGAAAAATTCGTTGGAGTTTTAAAACACTATTAGAGATGCTTTTACCTACCAAAGTTCCCTCTCCGTAGGTTAGAAGCACTATTCGCGCTACAAATGTTGCACACGACCCTAGATGGTGCGTTTACTGCTGTCGGACAAATCGGTTTCCATTATTTTTTAGTTTACAAAGAGCGACTTTTGCACAAAAGTAAAAATAGTGAAAAACAGTGTTTTTTAATAATAAGACATTTTATTTAGGTTTTCCCTGTTTTTAACTTACCTGACTTGGGTAGCACTTCCTTTTTAATCTGGTATATTTTTATATGTATGTTTTTAGATGAATTGTTGATAAAGGCCATTATTGCATTAAAAACCAGTCTATTCTACTGTGGGTGCACCGGACCTATGTCCTTTTAGTTCCCTGGAGCAGGTCTGGGGTGGCGTTGTTGCAACTTTTTAACTTTGTAATATTTTTCTTAGTACGAACCCATTTTGCCACACTGGGATGTGGCAGAACTATTGATGGCCTAGTCAGTGTAAACAAACCGTAGAAACAAAATCCCAGAGTTAAAGCAGATTTGAGAGAAAGTAATAAATTTGTTAAGATCCCCAAAAGGATGCGGAATATACAGGGAAGCATTAAATAGGGAAGCCAGGGACCGATATATGGATAAAATCTGCATTATAAACTGTTCAGATCCATATTTTTCAGTGTATTTTCTGTTTCATTTTTTGTTTTTATTATTATATTATTATATAAAAGTACCAAGATTAGAGCACCAATGTCAACTTGTTGCTGCCGCAGTTCTGCAAAATGGACATTTTCAGCTTTCTTGTTTGACCCGGTCGGGTTATACTAAAGACTTTATAAAAATGGGACACAATGCCTCCCTACTTGACACTCAGCTTGAAGGGGTTGGATTGGGGATTAAACCACCAGATAGTTTGTGAGCGCGGCCGCGTCTGCAGCTCACCGCTCCCCATGGGGATGGGTCAAATGCAGAGGACAATTTTTACCACACCGGTGTGTGTGTGACAACTATGGGACTTTAATATTGAAATGTATAAGGTTCATTTGCTGATTTTTCTAGTGAAACAATCAAAATTGTCATCCCATAGAAGAAGTGTAGAAGTGTTGTGTGTCAGTGCGCCCACATTAACCTAAGGGTGTGTGTGTCTATGTGTTGGTGTCATGTTGTGGTGAAGAAATCTAACCCACGACATACAGAATCAGATCTGAGACGGTGTAAAATGTTTTTAAAAAGAATTTATTTTAAAGGGAAACCAAGGAAGCAGCGTAAACGTAGCTGAGTTCTTGCACGAGGAAGCTGGTGCGGGAGAAGCTGTGGACAGATCGGAGTTAGATCCAATTTGCGGATGGCACAGGGAATCAGGCTTATGTGGAGGACTTACGGTCTGGAGAGGTGGGAACTGGTTTGAGGGAGGAGTGGTCCGGTCTGGGTAGCAGGGACTGAGATCCAGAAAAGAGACGTGGAGGGAGCTGAGCTTGGGGAGGTCCGGGGAGGTTAGGTGGGCAGCTGGAGGCGGGTCTGGCCAGGGGAGAGGCTGAGAGACGAGCGGAGTTGGAGATCCAAATGGTGTGGGCTCCAGAGTTCTGCCAGTCAGAGATGAGTGTGTAGATTTGTCTGGGAACAAGAGCAGGAGGTCACAAAGGCAAAAATCCAAAATCCAAAAACACATCAAATCTCAAAAATCCAAAATCCAAAAACAAATCTAATTCTCAAGAGTTTACAGAGCTCGAATAAGTTTCACAAGTGGCTGTTAGAAGGTACCCAGGTAGAGTAATCATCCAGCGAAGTGTAGGAGTCTCCCAGCTGCTTAAATACCCCTGGCCAGCTGATGAGCAGATCTGCTGCAGCTTGGTCACCTCCAGACACGCCCACCTGCAGAGGGAAACTCAAAAGACAGAGAGTGACAGCAGGGAAATACCTCAGACCGTGACAGTACCCCCCCCCTCAAGGGACGCCACCTGGCGGCCGAGCAGAGGAGGAGGAGGAGGAGGAGCGGGCCAACTCGAAATCCCGAATGAGAGAGGGGTCATCGATCCATGACCTCGGGACCCACTGCCGATGTTCCGGGCCATAACCCTCCCACTCGACCAGGTACTGGAAACCTCGGCCACGAGGTCGCACATCCAGAAGGCGCTGGACACGGTAACCGAGGCCCCCGTCAGCGAGACGCACAGGAGGCGGAGGGTCGACAGGAGGGCACAGGGAACTGGAGATGACAGGCTTAAGGAGGGAGACATGAAAAACGGGGTGGATCTTCATGTGGGACGGCAGATCCAAGCGGACGGAGGACGGGTTGACGACAGCAGAAATCGTGTAGGGACCGATGAATGTGGGGGAAAGTTTTCTGCAGTGGTCCTTTAATCTGATGTCCCTGGTGGAGAGCCAGACGCGCTGTCCAGGCGCATAGTCTGGGGCAGGACGCCGGTGCCGGTCGGCCAGACGCCGGTTGCGTTCTGCAGTCCTCTGTAGGGCCTGTTGCGTGGCCGCCCAAACCCGTCGGGCCCCCTTCAGGAACTGAGGAACGGAGGAAACTGTGGTGGGAAATACAGAAGGGAACAAACTGGGTTGAATACCTGTCGAGGCCTCGAAGGGGGATAGTCCAGTGGCGGAGGAGACATGGGCGTTATGGGCGTACTCGATCCAAGGAAGGTGGGTACTCCAACTGGAAGGGCTAGAAGAACACAGACAGCGGAGCATGGCTTCTACCTCCTGATTTAGTCTCTCGCATTGGCCATTTGACTGCGGATGAAAACCAGATGTTAGCGCCACCTTAGCCCCTAAGCAGGTGGCGAAGTCCCTCCACACCCTTGAGATAAACTGAGGGCCGCGGTCAGAAAGTATCTCCGCAGGAATGCCATGGAGCCTAAAAACATGCTTAACAAGCAAAGTGGCAGTGTCAGCGGCAGAAGGTAGAGCCTTTAGCGGCACTAGGTGACAAGCCTTGGAGAAACGGTCGATAATGGTCAAAATAACCGTAAAGCCTCGAGAAGGGGGAAGACCGGTGACAAAGTCTAGTGCAATATGGGACCAGGGCCTGGAGGGAATGGGTAGCGGATGTAATAGTCCAAAAGGGGGTTGGTTACTTCCCTTGTTGCGGGCACAGGTTTGGCAGGCGGAAACGTACTCCTTGACATCCTTAAACATTGTTGGCCACCAGAAGGACCTCCGGATTAAGGCTACGGTACGACTGATACCAGGGTGGACAGAAAACTTGGCGGTGTGGGCCCAGTTAATCACCTTATGCCTGACGGAAGGAGGAACAAACAGGGTGCGGTTGGGTACCTGATTGGGACAGGGGTAGTTCTTTTGAGCCTCGAGCACCTGATCCCGTATCTCCCAGGTAACGGCTCCCAGGACACAATCCGGTGGTATGATGGTAGTGGGCTCGGGATCCGAATTCACCGAGAACTGTCGTGAGAGAGCGTCGGGCTTGATGTTCTTGTTGCCTGGTCTGTAGGAAATGATAAAGTGAAAACGTGAGAAGAACAGGGCCCACCTGGATTGACGTGGGTTGAGTCTCTTAGCTTCTTTGAGGTAGGAGAGATTTTTATGATCCGTCCATATCACAATGGGGTGCTCAGCTCCCTCCAGCCAGTGCCTCCACTCCTCCAAGGCGAGTTTCACAGCTAGGAGCTCACGATCTCCCACATCGTAATTTCTCTCGGCAGGAGAGAGGCGCCGTGAGAAGAAGGCGCAGGGATGGAGGCGGTGATCTGTGGGGGAGGTTTGAGAAAGCACAGCCCCGACTCCAGTGTCCGAGGCGTCAACCTCGAGAGTAAACTGCTTTGCAGGGTCTAGACGGGTGAGAATAGGGGCCTGAATGAACCTCTCCTTTAAGTCACAGAAACTCCTGGAGGCTTCAGCATCCCAAATGAAAGGTCTCTTAACTGAGGTTAGTTGTGTTAAAGGGGCGGCTATCTGGCTGTACCCTTTAATAAACCGACGATAGAAATTTGCGAAACCCAAAAATCTCTGTAGCTGTTTGCGTGTGGAAGGAGTTGGCCAGTCTTTAACTGCCTGCACCTTTTCGGGGTCAGGTCCCAGCCTTCCACTCTCCAGTACGAAACCCAGAAACTTAACAGATGGGGCATGAAACTCGCATTTCTCCGCCTTAACGTAGAGCCGATTCTCGAGTAGGCGTTGGAGAACGGCTCGGACATGACCGGTGTGTTCCTCGGGGGTCCTCGAAAAAATCAAAATGTCATCCAGATATACTGTGACAAACTTGTTCAGGTAGTCACTCAAAACAGTGTTAACCAGGTTCTGAAAAACGGCAGGTGCGTTCGTGAGACCAAAAGGCATGACTAAATACTCAAAATGTCCTATTGGTGTTTTGAAAGCCGTCTTCCACTCATCTCCCTCTCTGATGCGAACCAGATGGTAAGCATTTCTAAGATCCAGCTTAGTGAATATGGTCGCATCTTGTATGGGTTCAAAAGTGGATGACAGTAAGGGTAATGGATACTTGTTTCTCACCGTGATTTGGTTTAAACCGCGGTAGTCGATGCAAGGCCTCAGGGTGCCGTCCTTCTTGGAGACAAAGAAAAAGCCAGCACCCAGAGGAGAGGTGGAAGGCCGAATTATGCCGGATGCCAGGGACTCGGAGATGTACTTTTCCATACTTTCACGTTCAGGCTTGGAGATGCTGTAGAGACGGCTAGAGGGAAGAGGTGCTGCAGGGAGAAGATCTATAGCACAATCGTAAGGGCGGTGAGGTGGTAATGAGGACGCTTTATGTTTAGAAAATACCTGCTGGAGGTCGTGATATTCAGGCGGAACCCCGGTGAGGTCGGGTGGTGTGGTCTTCAGGGCTCGAGGCTCGGAACTAGAACGGGCTGGTCCCAAACAGGTTAAATGACAGTTATTGCTCCACATCTCCACTTGGTTTGTGACCCAGTTAATACGGGGGTTATGGTTCTTAAGTCAGGGATGACCCAGGACCACAGGAGACTGAGGGGAAGGAAATACAAAAAAGGCGAGTTCCTCACTGTGGTTACCTGACGTCATCAGGCGAATGGGTGCAGTCTTGTGAGTGATAGAGGTGAGGGAGCCTCCGTCCAGAGAGGATACACGGTAGGGTGTTTGTAGAGGGAAAGTGGTAACCAGGAGTTGCTCCACTAGCTGTTGGTCAAGAAGATTTAATTC